TATAAGCTTCACTAAAAGGTGACTTTTTTAAAATTTAAATAAGTCAAGAACATAAAATATGTCTAAATATGCCTTATCTTTTTTTTCGATGAGTAACCAGTGTGCATCTGAAAATATTGTTAGAAGGAAATTTGCAAAAAATTAAATTGCTCTTACCTGGTTTTTGATTTGAATTTTTAATACTTTTTGTGTAGCTCAAGCAGTTGTAAACACAGATTTTGTAACACTTTCTTTTAATAATTATTAATCTTAAGTAATTTTTGATAGGTGTGCTAAGAAAGCCTAGTGTAACTTTCAGTTCATGCAATAAAATTTTTTACTCATACCATTGAGTATTATTTCAGTGCTTATTGTATGATCAACACAAGCAAAAAAAATATGAGTATTAATAATCAATTTCTTAATTTCATTTTTATTATGATTTTAAAAAATTCCAGAAAAATTAAGTTAAAATCATTATAAAGTATTGAATTTAAACTTCTTTATCTTTCACTCTTTTTAATGTTTAAAACTGCATGATGTTTTTAAGAAATTCTTTATGGAACAAGTTTTTTTTTTTCATGTGAAGGCTTTAACAACCTGATAGTAAATAAATAATTTGCAGTAGGTTTTTGTAATGAAATTTTAACTTCCTTTTTTTTCTGTTTTTTTTCTGTTTTGTTTTCATCTTATTATTAGTAATTCCACTTAACTCAGCGAGCTTGTATTATTAAATGAATGCATAGGTATAAAATCATCGTGCATGAGGTACTTTTACTTTTCTTAACTAATTTTTCAGTACTGATGTTTTTTTGACTCATGTTTTGTTATTTAATTTTTTTTCTTTTTGTGGAAGTGTTTGAATATTTTAAATTTTAATCCAGACAAGGAAGACTGTGAAGAATGTGAGCAAGTACTTCAAGAACTTGAAAACATTGATGATGAAGCTGATGCAAAAGACATTGGCTTTGTAAAAATTGCAGATGAGAGTTTAGCAGTTGAATATGGTTTGGATTCTGTTCCAGCACTGATTTATTACAGAAAGAAGATACCTCTTTTATATGATGGTAAGTAATGTCGCTGCATTAATATACATTTTTTTAAACAAAAGCATTCATTTGGTTGTATGCCATCAAAATTTTTAATACAATTTTGCAGCTATGTTTTTATGGTTTAATTCAAAATTTTTATGTTTTGCTGTTTTTGTTTGCATTAAGTATGCATTGTTAAATGTAAATTTTTAGTTACTTCTACTTTTTTATATTTTATATGCAAGTGCCTTATATTTGTATTATTTCATTAACTGTTACATAATTTTAATGCATTTTTGTGTGTTTGATATAGGTGATCTTTTTAATGAAGATGAAATTCTCAACTGGCTGTTTGAATTTCAAGATTTGGGAGAGGAAAATGAAGCTATTGAAGATATATCAGCAAATGGCTTAGCTCAAATGATTGAGGATTCTCCATTTCTAGCTGTGCTTTTTTGTAAGGACCGGTTTCACTTGTCATCACACTTTTTTTAAATCATAGAATGCATGAAATTTTATCGAGTGAAAAAATTTCTGTGTAGTAGTGTATTTAATGAAAGTAGCATAAATATTTGTTCATTTTATTAAGATTATCTTTTTCAGATGACATTGAAAGCAGAAGGTCTCAAAGGATTTTAGAAGAATTAGAAAGTATTGATGTTGATTGTGATTGTCATGGAATACCTTTTGTTAAAATAGATGATGATAAAGTTGCTGCTGAATATGGTCTTGAAACTTTACCTGCATTAGTTTACTTTGAAAATAAAATGCCTAATTTTTATCAAGGTAAGTAAAAATAATAAGTTTTCTGTTTTAAATCATGCAGTTGATTTTTAGATAATTTTTTATTATGCATTTTTAGTTTCTCATTTGTAAATATATTTTAAGGTGATTTGACTAAAGAAGATGATGTACTTGAGTGGCTTATAAAGCAGACAAGTTCTGATGAGATTGAAGATGTTACCGATAAAGTTTTGCAGCACATGATTAAAAAGACACATGAGTTGGCTGTTTTGTTCTGTGAGTTTCTAAGTATCTGATAAGTTGAAATTTTACAGAATAAAGGAATATTTGTTAGGCTATATATCAGTAAATTTTTTCACATTCAAATTTATGAATACCATGCATTATCATACTGTATTCTTATATAAAACATTAAAAAAAATGCCTGTATCACATATGCAGCTATAAAGGAACTGTCATAATGAGCATCTTGTTTCGGGCAATGTATATGTCTTTAATATCAAAGAAGGTTTTGAAAGCAGATAACATGCTTTACTATTATTTAAAAGAAAAAATAATACAGTACAAAGTCCGAGATCCGGACTTGTTGGGACTTTTGCAGTCCTAGATTTGGGATTTTTTCGGATATTAGATCATCGATTTAAATCTAATAAGATGGCATGTAGAAAGTATAAAATCAAAAATATGAAATTGGGATTTATGAAATAATGAAGCATTTATGATCTAAAGGGTATCAAAATTTACAAAAAAATTCTTAATACTTATTTGTTAACTTTATTAAACATTACTTTAATGTAAATAAACATGAATGTAAATTGTTTAAGTTGCTTCTTTTTTGTGCTAATACTTTTTCTTTAATTCTGTAGGCAGACATAATTTCTTGTTTATTTACAAAGTTCCACTGTTCAAGTCCTGGAATTGCTGTGTCGACAATTCTAACTTATCAATCAAAATTTTTTTGTTTCCAGTAACCTCTGTTTCCTTCTTCCCTGCCGGTAGTGGTATTTTCTGGATCTAGAACCATACTACAGATTTCACCATCCATTAATTGATTGTGATTGGAGCATTATCATCGCAGTGAAAAAACTTCTTTTATATTATCTTCATTTATTACCACCTCTCCACATTTCTTTGCAAAATCCATTACTTGAAAACTTTCACCAGTGGTTTGTAATATCCTAAAACCTTCAAATTCGTGAGTATCATGTTCATCATCTTCACCATGAAATATGGTAGCTCGCCATAAATTATGCCAAGCATTTTTTAAAGTATCTGAAGCCACATTCTCCCACGATCTTGCGATACTCCATGAAAAGATTTATGCTAAAATAATTCAAGAATTCTTGATTGGTCTTGCCAATATTCAAGAAATTTAACATGGACTTTAAAAATACCACTTTATATTTGTATTTTGAGGACGCTCACTATTCTGATTACAGTTTTTGAAGGGAAGAATAATACAGATACATTACCTTTTACTAAAACTTTAAAGGAAGTATGAGCCGAACAGGTATCTACAATCAGGACAATTTTTATGTCATCAGGTAAACCAAGTTCTAAATCAAGTTATAAATAAGTTCTAAATTTTTGCCACTCCTTAATTTTGGGTCCCAGTGCTTTCCCTAAATTCTAAAAATTTTATCATCCCTTAATTTTGTCTTCCATAAATTATATCGCTCGGTGCAGCCATACGAGCTCTCACGCCGGATCTGGGTTTATGTGAATAAAAAATCAGTTATTCGTAAATCAAATTGTACTAACTGTAATCTTTTGGCCTATGAGTATCATTAACAAAATTTTTTTAGTATCTGGAAAGAAATTTTTGTTAAATTTTTCCTAGTACACATTTATTGCAACTTAAATGTGTAATCACCGCCAAGCTTAATATCAACATAAAAGGTTTCCATACTCTTTGTTTTGTGTTGATAAACATGCAAAATATAATAAATAATGATTTGCCAGGTTGGCGTCAAGGATATAAAATATTAGTAGTTGTAAAATCTACGTTGTTTCTATGTAGAATGTTTTGGTTTGAAATGTATGCCAAACAGATACACAGCTACGGAGCAAAATGATTGATCATTTATGCTAAAATGATCGTTTCTTCAATAACAAGGTATTTTACTTAGTGCTGAAGTGAAATTAAGAATCTGAATTCTGCACATGTTTTGTTATGGGGAAAAATCAAATGCAAAAGAAAAAAACATTCCTACAATTTTTTGTTGGTGGCTTTAAGATCCGGATTTTAGATCATTCCGGATATTGGACGACCGGATCTCAGACTTTGTACTGCATTAAAGAAGTAATGTTAGAAAGTTTGCAAGTAACATATACTATATCGGTTGAAAACAAACTTTAGTTAATGTAGTACTTGTTTCAGAATGTATTAAATACAGGTTAAATGATTCACATTATTCAGCTAATAAGCAATGCAGTTTTATAATATGAAAGCATAAATGAAAGATCTTAGACCTTACTGTTTCTTAGCAACTTAAGATCTTGTGACCTGAACCTAGAACCACTATTTGAAAAATATTGACACCCTTCCAGGGTGTTAAAAAGTATTTATTTTAAGATTTTATGCACGTTCTTATAAGTTATAATCCAAAAAAAATTATGAAAATTATTCAGAATCTAAATTTTTAAAAGTAAAGTGACTAAGCTTTTCTAGATGTGAACCAAGTCTGTAGTTTATACTTTCTTTTCATATTTAATTAAAAAATAGATTTTTAATTAAATAAGAGATAATTTAATTTAAATAAGAGAAATTGTGTCAAATTTGAATCAAGTCGAATTACATTATGAAAATAAAATTTTGAATTCTGAAAAAAATTGCTCATTCACATTCTACAAAATTTGGCATTTTGGTGTAGAGTTGAAACTACAGAAAGAAAATTAGTATGCAATATCAGAGAAAGTTTGATTTATGTAGAAACACGTGAGCATTATGCTATATGTAAATCTAATAATTCATCCCTCTGAGAAATGCAATTTAAATTTTCTTGATCAGTTGATTTGGGGGTGGGGATACATAATCCTTTTTACCTTACCTCTCTTTTAACAGTGCATATTTTCACGGAATCTTTTTTTTCACAGAACTAGTTGATTTGCCTCCAACTGACTGTATGAGAAATTTTTCATTTTTATTTGTTATTTTCCTTTATAAGAATAACTTTTAATTTGCTTTTCAATTTAGATGACAATGATGATGAAGCAAGTTCTGCTATTCTTCAAGAGCTAGAAAATATTGATGATGATGCTGAAAAAATTGGGGATCCCATTTGTAAAAATAGATGATCCATGAACTGGCTGAAGCATATGGAATTAGGAATTTACAAACTCTTGTATTTTTTGAAAACCAAGTTCCAAACTTTTATAAAGGTAAGCAATAAGTTTTTTTTTTTTTTTTTTTTTTTTTTTTTTTTTTTTAAGTTAAATAACATCAATAGCATAAGCTTTATGTCTAATATGAATGCATGTTTATACTATATATATGGGTAAAAATTTTAATAATGGCAACTATTTAACATAGATATAGAATACATATGTTTCACATCTTCAGTGACCTTCAGTGTAGTCACTAGCATTGTCTTCTAATTGCCAATAACATGGAAGTTGTAAGATGCCACTTGCAGTTTCTGTTCTGTTATTAATTTAATACTGTGGCTGAAGAATCCGAGGAACATTTCTGAAGTAATTGCCATGAAGTAGTTTCTTTACTACAGGTACTGAATCAAAGTGATAGTAGGTTACATCTCAGAATGGTGAAACATTTTCCAGCCTCATCAATTTACCAAACACACCTTCTGCTGCGTGTTTCCGAGCATTATGTTGTGAAATGATGTGTAGTCTTCCAGAAAGATTTCCCACATTTTTTTTTCGAAAATGGTTACAGTTTGTGCTCAGAATTATACTACTGCACCTTTTGAGGAGTTGCACAGTTACACTCGAAAATCAACTTAACTTGCATTATGCTTTAGTCCCACTTAAATTCGTGGTCTTTGCAGTGATCCGTAATGATCACACAATGATAAGCATTTCATTCAAGGCTATTGAACATTTTGCCACTGTTTTGTAAGGCAATGCAGATATGCATCAAGTCTCTTGGACCTTGATGACATTCTTATGTTGTGTGACCTGTAGTGTATTTTTTTGCATTTGCTGCTGTTTTGGTAACATAATGACAGTACTACATTAGGCAACCAGCTAATGTGAGGCATTGTCCCTATTACTGGTCAAGTACATGAAGTAGAAGAAATAAAACTGCTTGTTGTGAGGTTAAGTCAGATATATAATTAATGTGTGGTATAAGCAGTTTTATCTGATTTTGTTGCATGTCGTGAGGTAAAGTTAGATATGTAACTAATGCATGGTACAAGCAGTGTTATCTGGTTTCATTGCATTTCATCTCTACAAAAGCATCACCTGTACTAAGTTTCATCCCTTGTACATGCATAAACTTATGCATTTTTATGAATTATTTGTATTTATAACTTGTTTCTATTAAGTTTGGCATGTTTTAGTTTATTGAGTCCTAAAATTAGTTCATACTTTCTTTTCATTTAATTAATTTTCTTATAAAAGGCTTCAGATGAATTCTGTTAAAGTGGCCTTTAGTTAAATTGGGTAAATGTTTTCTGCTCATAGTCTCTGATTTTTGCACAATTCTGTGTTTATTGTTATTTGAATATTAGTGTCCTCTCTTTCTGCTCAGTTAAGCATTAAGGTTTCAGTGCTTCTGTTATCTAATGTAACCTTCAGAAGCCACTAATTACTGTCATGACTGTTATATGCCATGCAAAATTAATCTACTATGGAAACAATTCAAAGAAATTACAAAACTGTAACATTTTTGGAAAGAAACTTATCATGGATTAAAAAAAGAACTTTGATTTAGAACTGTATTTTTTGAACTGTAGTATTGCAATATTAATTTAGAAAGACTTTCTTTGAAGATTTCTGTTTTCCATTCACAGTTAAAGAGACTAATAACTATGAAACAAAAAATAACGAATTTGCTATTTTGAAGGACTGTTTATTTCCTTATATATGGCATATCAGCAACTTTTTTGTACATTAAAGTTTAATTTCTTTTTGTTTTCATCTTTGGTATAAGCATATGTAATGATTTCTGTATATAGGCTTGTTTTTTTTTATTTTATTGAAATAAAATAATAATCATTTTGAGAAAACATTTGGTATCCAAATAAGCATATCCATGCTTATTTATCAATTTAATCCTTCACGCCCTTTGAAAGCTCATTCGACTGTGTCCTTTCTTCTTTTCACATGCTGCTTTGATAGAAAGTTTGTGATGATTTTGTTATTACAGTCTCTGTTATTATTATGGCATGTGGTATTGGTATTTGTATATTCAAGCTTGTATTTCTTACCTCTGCAATTTTGAATCTGTGATGTTATTTCTTCTCTTCATGCATAAAATTCTAAAATCACAGAAAAATAATTCAGAATTACATGGCTGCTTATTTTCACAACTCTTAAGTCTTGCTTTAAAAACTGAACTTATTTGCTTCAGTGTGATAAATAAATTTCAATGTATTTTTTGGATATAATTGTAAAATTTGCTTGTCACTGTTTTTCTACTCCATTACATCTTGAAATGTTTAGGTATTCTTACTTCCATGTTTTGACCAAGGATAAAAATTTCAACACGCAACTACAAATTTCAACTGGATATTTTTGTAAAAATATAAGTGTTCAAGATCAAGAATTTTCTTGAACTTACCAGTAACTCAACATCTCTTCTCATTATTTAGACCTAAGAAAATCATTTGTATATTCAGATTAGTATGATTTGCAAGTCTTGCATACATTCTTATTAACATGCTGCTTAACCCCTTGAGGACCAGTGCTGGAGAATGAAGCGCAGTCACAGGACCGAACCCCCTGAAATGGAATACGGCCACTATACTATACACATAAAAACAAAATTACAAATGAAGCAGTAATTATCTGTAGGTAATTAAATTCCAATTTAATAATTCTGCTGTGTGTGGAATAATTCAAAACAAGAAACGATGCACAGAACAATGGTGGCTTTTTTCGCCGAGCAAGTAAGATGCATCACGTATCGAGAAAGCTGATATCTTTTCCCTTTCTGTAATAATGCTGTAAAGTTACTTTTAATTAACCAAGAAAGTCTGCATTAAGTTTTAAAATAAATATAAAATAGGACAACATAAAAGGTATGAGTTTTTCCATCATGGAAGTTCGGCGACGTTACACCAGCTATAGTCAGCTAGATTCATTTACCCATATTCTCCCAACAACAAAAAAAAAAAAAAAAAAAAAAAAAAAGAAAGAAAGAAAGAAAGAAAAAAAAGAAGGAAAAAGAAAACATGGAGCTGGATGCATTTCCCCACATTCTAATAAATAAAATCGCAAAGAATAAAAACGAAGACAAAAAAAAAAAAAGAAAAAAAAAAGGAAATTCCTAACGAAATAAACAAACACGCCAGTATTCCTTTAACTTAAAGAGCTATGATTCCCAGTTTGTTTACACCAATAAATCTATCAAAACCAGAAGCACAGAACAAAAACTTATGCTTATACATGAAGGTCAAAAGCCACATGATTTAACCGATGTGAAAACTATTTACCATTTACCAACATCTATTGGCATTTAAAAGTTGAAATAAATGGTTCTGTTTCCAAGTTATGTATATGCAACACTGGGTTGTAGAGATTGATTAGAACTCTTAACGTATATGCATCGCTGGGCTGGTAAGGGTGGAATCATTGCGTCACGTATACAGAATGCTGGTCCTGAACAGATTAATGAACAAAGCTTTTCCTTAGCTGTTTAGGGTATCAGGGCAGATTTTGCTTTGTTTCAGTTCCTTCTGTTTCTCACTTCTCTGAACAAAGTGTTTTGGAATTAATTTCTTTACTTGAAACTAGCAAATTTACATCATTGTAACTCAATGGTTCATTTGATGTTCATGGTAAATGAAACATGTTTGCATTTTTGCACAGAAAATTTCTCAAGTTATTTACAGCACTTTGTTTGATGTTGTCTTTCACTTAGAATATCAACTGCATGCTTTTATCCTTAACATGATTTAAATGTAATTTACCATTATTTCTAATGATATATGACTATTGGCTGCTTTAAAATTGCCAGCTTCAAATTTTAGCCTTTTGCTGTGCAATTTCTTTGAGTGGTGACCAATGAATGCAGTTTCTAAAAACTTTTTAAAGTGTTTTCATTCTGTTTCTGTTATGAGAATGATTAAGTGTTATTTCTGTTAGGAGTGACATTTTAATTTAATTGAGTGGTAAAAATGCATTCCGTGAGAAATCGGTTTTTATATCAGCTTTTTTTTTTGACTAATCTGGAACAATTTGTATCTACTTTGAAAGTTATTCTGTATTGTCTTATTGCGATAATGTTGTTTTCTGAATGTACAGCAATAATATAGTTAGAGCTGGTTTCGGTAATAATTAATAAACTCTTTCCTTCTATTATCATGTCAAAGTTTCTAATTACTTAAAAATTTTAAGATCTAAAGTTAACCCCCCCTTGCTTGGTAAATAAGCTGATTTCTGTTTGAAGCCTTAAAATGAAATACTGTTGGCAATTGAGCTACCACCAAATCCATGTATAATTTTTACCCCCACAAAAATATTTGTACTTTGATGCACAATGATTAAGGACAGAACACATTTTCGTGTATTACAATGCAGAACAGTGTTTCAGATCATTATAAGGCATTCCATTACATCATCATAATACATGATTATGAGGAAAGGGAACAGCTCTGATCGGAAAAAAATCTGAAGAATGCAAAAACCTTTTTCCAAACATAGAATCTAAGAATAGTATGACAGAAGACAGAATTATCCATGTGACTGGTGGCAGGCAAGAAAAGTGCAGTCCTCAGTTAGGAATACGGTCACTTCTGACTCCAGTGCATGATGTGCACCTTCTATTCATTGCCTGGTATGAGATCACTGACAAACTCTAAAGCATCAGGGCCCACCTTTCTTGCAGTACTAATTGTATTTGTGAAATCGTTCAGGTATTGCCTGAGAACATTCTGAGTGTAAGATTGGGTTTAGTTATGTGGGATTGTATGGAAGTATTTGGAAGAAAATATCATTGTAGCCCAACAGTTTAGCAGTAACTGCTGTAGTATAAGTTGCAGCATTATTGTCCATGAAGAGGAACTCAAGACCCCCAACATGTCAGAAAAGGTACACAATAGTAAGGAAAATCTCAGTGTAGTTGCTGTGACTGATACGTTTTAGATGTGAAGCTCCTCCATATGGCTACAAAGCAATGTACTTGCTCAAACAAGAGCTCTGACACCTCTAAACTGTTTCTTTCAATGATGTTGGAGAGGTGATGTTCTGTTTCTAAGTCTGTCTAGGTGTTAGATGTCCAGATTCAGAAGTAAGACTTAATCAGTTGTTGTACTTCTTTTCTGAGCTTCCCAGTCTTTGTGTTTCCAGTGCACAAAAAATACTGTTTCCATTGATTAAGCATCAGTGACACTTATTGTGCTGCTTGATAAGTTAATAAACCAGTTATGTGCTTTTGGCCACTATGAAAATGTGGTACCAGGTATCCATATGCATGTGTCTTGCAATTTCACCTACTGTCTCTTTTTGATCTGTCCTTGCCTAGAGGAGAAGCAGCATGTCCTCTCACCATGATTGTTCATGGAAACCACTATTAAAACTTTTTGCTTCAACTAATCGAAATGCCATCCAAACTAGTAACACAGTATTAAGTGTGATTCTGAGCTCACTCACAATACTTATACTTCAATTTCTATCTTCACCATGATTTGGGAGGGGGGGAGTAAAATTATCCAGATGTTGCCTGCAGGTCTGTCTATTCACCATATCATATTGTGAGAACAATTTGATGTCACTGAAACCAAGATGCAATGTGCAAGGGCTTCCACTGTAATCAGTTTCTCCAGTTTGCTCCTAATTTTTGCACAGCTGTATACTAATAATTTGCTGTTGATCAGAAGTCATATTGTTAACATAAATAATATATAAACATGCATTTTATATGCTGCATGCAATATGTATATTCCATCCTTCCAATAAAGTAAGCTGGAAGAAAAATTTAAACAGATGCTTAAATCATCTGACATTGCCATTATCAACAAAGATGAAAATTAGTCCAGGAAGTCATTACAGAATATAGTGAATTGCATGCAGATATAATTAATTTCTTCTGCTTTATTTACGGTTTTTCCTGACAACAGCATGTCAAGCCTGCAGTTAGTGATTGCCTCTTAACACTTCTAACAAATTTTCTAACAAATTTCTCTTAACTGATTGCCTCTAACAAATTTTCAAATTTTTATTAGTATTTTTATAAATAGCTCTAATTTTTATTTGTGTAGTTTCACTCAAATTTTAGTAGTTAACTCAAATTTTACTTTTTAACAACTTTTTTCAGTTCAACTTTTAATTATAGATTTGTGTAAAGTTGAAATAGACTAATATCTTCATACATTTTATGAATTCATGACATGCTGAATGTTTAAGCTTTTTTATGCTTGGAAATGTGCTAGTTTTTTGACATTGTTGTAAATCTTGAAAAGCTCTATAAGTATATTTATTGAAAAATTAGCATATAAGTGGACAGACATACTTCAAGAGCCACTCTTAATTTTAATTGTTTATTCATACTGAAAGTTCATGTCAAAATGAAAGCATAATGGAAAATTACTAAAATGTAATTTTTATGCTGCATTTTATTTGTACATATATTACAGTCTGTGACTTAGTTGTACATATGAAACTCATGTGGTGCATCCTACTAATGGGCAGTTTTTGACTAGATTATAATTGTATGTATGTAATAATTGTATTAATATACTATGTATATAATTGAGCACATGCTGCCCAGACTTCAAAAGAATGAGCCACATCTTTGCTTTGAGTATGAAAAGTCGAAGTTCTGTTTACAAAATTTTTAATAACTATATATGTGTGTTAACTTGAACTTTCATATTAGGTAATTTAACAGAGGAAGCTGTACTCGAATGGTTAAAAGAATTGCAGGCTTCAGATGAGATAGAAACTGTATCAGATCAAGTTGTTGAATTGGTGATTGACAAATGTGATTATCTCGCAGTTTTGTTTTGTAAGTATTCTTTTAAAACTTTGACATTTATCTTTAGTTTCTGTCTGTGTAACTGAACTTTATTTATTTTCTATATGGATTATAAAATACTAATAAAGTATTCTTATTTAAAAAACAAAAGAAAAATTGTTAATACTAAAATATGACTTTTTAAAATACACTCCTTCACAGCTAATAATAATCTATTGTGTAAAAGTTATGCATAGTGCAACAAATATATAATCCATCTAGATTGGTGGTTCTCAACCTTTTTTTGACCAGCAATGGTGAAAGGCATCCCTTTCACCATTGCTGGAAGATCAAACCCCTCCTTTCCAAAATTTGAAAAATACACACACATTTATTTAAACTTAGATTATTTTTAATGTGTTTTATAAACAAGAAAAAAGAAAATGTTGATCTACACCAAAACTTGAGAGTAAGAGCAATTTTTTATATTCATAAACTAAAACTAAATTCTTAACAGGTAAATAAAATGCTGACCACATTTCTCCCTGAAGCTATGAAATTCTTCCTAGGGGAATTCCCCCTGGTTTAGAGCCCCTAGTTTAGATGCTCTTGTGTCTAAATACTAAACAGTAATGTTGCAAGCAAATTGACGCATCACATATCTGATGTTTCATAGTTTAGAAACATGTTGTACCAGTTATTTCTAATATATATATATATATTTAATACTTAGAAAATACATTTTGTTTTATTATAATGATGAAAAGCATAATAAATCAGCAGTTTAAATAGTTTATGCAGTTATGTTCCGAAAGGCCTCGTGTCTAGTTTTAGGGAAGAATTGAGAATGTATTTCATTGTTCAACTTATTTGTGTCAACTTATTTTCTCATGAAATTTAATTTTCTTTGAAACCGTGTATTTTTCTTATGCTATCACCTGGACTCAATGAAAACATCTTAGAAACATTTCAGTATTCAGTCTATTAGATTGTTTTCGTGTCATGAGAAAAATCTTGAACTTCTCTCAAAATTCTTTCAATCCCTATGCCTAGGTCTTTGTAGGCCTTGATGGCAGTTGAGATTTGGTCAGTACCACGTGAGTTAGAAATTTTGTATGCTGGGTGATGGGTTTTTATGGATTTATGTGATAATAATAATGGTATTATTATAAATAACCCAATATCGCATTGGTTTTAAAAATACACTAATAGAACTTGACCGATCTCTTTGACTGAAACAGTTTTTTATGGATGATCATTCTTAGACATAAATTGTTTTATTCCGATAATCAATACACCTCTGAAACAAAGGCTGTGCTGTTTAGTGAAATATGCAGATTACAGATTATGTCTTTCTGAGTTAGTCGTATATTCCTTTCTAATTTTTGCATTAAATCTTTATTGTTTGCACATAAGTAATTAACTAAAACACATTGGCACATTAAGAATTGTTCAAAAATTCATTAAATACAAAATTATTATATTTTAAAAATATAACTGAATACAAAGGCAATAATGTCAGTAGAAGGAGAAAACATGGAAGAAATATGGAAAAGAATTTTTCTTTTGAAAAATTATGTTGAAGAACTTTATGTAAAAATACTGCATACTCCCCTACGAAATTACTCTCAAACTTATTTTCATGTTGTTAAATGGGATAAAATAAATTAACAAATGAATGCACTTTTTGCAAAATAACTGCAGCTGTAAGGTTTTTTTTCCAAATTGAAACCCTGTGCTCATTTTACACACATGCAGTTGACATGACTTTGAGAGCTCCAAATTAGAGTTTTTGATTTAATAAAAGAAAATTCCTTGTTCATTAGACTCTTTTTCTATACGTTCAATTTTTAACGCCAAAAAAATCTTTGTTTTCAAGAATCTAATCTTATTCATAGCCAGTATAATGATTGCTCATTCTGCGAAATATAAACAAACCTACAAAGAGATAATTTTAAGTTAAAATGCAACATCTGGAAAGTTGTGAACAGATAAATTTTTTATATATGTTGACAGTATAAATTCCAATTTGTTTTCAAAATATCAGAAAATATATGCCTAAAAGTAGGGATTTATACAAAGCAAAAAATAAGCAGTTAGAAACATGCAATCCATGCTAATTATAATAGAGTCCTGACACAGGTACAGATGATGCTAAATAATTTGCTATATGCAAATTAAATAAAATGCTAAATGCTAGATAAGTAATAAAAAATAGCTTTTCAAAATATGCTATTATTTTTTAAAAATAATTTCCCCCTTATATATATTACACATATACGTGATGTACCAGCTTTTGTTTGGAATAAATAGATTGGTGAAGAATCGTAAATGTAGTCGAAGCTCACAGTATCAGATGATAAGTTTAAAAAACAGGATCCATTTATTATTATTCAGGAGAAATAGCAGTTACAAAAAATCATATCTCCGAAGTAAATAAAAAAGAATTACTAATAACTATTTGTATGAAGTTTACTGCATCGTTACATTAAAGAAATGACCCCGATATGCCTTTGCGAGTCCTTTTATAGCCTCTGGAAAGGCGGAGCTTCAAAGAAATGACGTCAGCCATTCCAGTTCGCTTTAAATATCTCCAGAACATTCTATAACTGTATGTGTAGAAAAAGCGGGAAAAACAACTTGACTACGGGGCTGTGGATTTAATTCCATGTACTTTCAAATAAGAGACCGTCACCATTAAAAAATGTAAAGAACATACAGTTAGAATTTTAAGTGTATTCTTGACTATAGAATTTTATTATTACATATATATATATATATATATAAGGTAAAAAATTGCCATTAAATATGCCATGGTGAAGTTTATGAAAATTTAATTTTCGTTCATTTGCATTCGAAACTCAGTGGTTATTATAGATATTCATAGATTAAGTGGTCACAGAATATCGGTATTCTTTTAATAGCAAGTAATTAATTTACTTATTTTTTCTATGATGCAAATAATTATGTTATTACTTAAGGTTTACTTACTGTTTCTCATTTTTATGCACAAAGGAAAATTAGCTTGAATCCATTTAGACTTCTGTCTGAAGTTTATTTCATTACACTTAATTTTTCTTTAAATTGCTATTATTCTTTTGGGAAACATTTGCACCGAAATCAGTTAAACAGATATTGGAGTTATTTGAAAGATTTTAGTTTTAAGACTTTTTTAAATGTGACAAAAATGGTTAAAGAAAGAAAGCAGGCACAATGAGATTTTGTCAGTAGTGTATCTTTAAGGTTACTATCATATATAATTTTAATGTGGTGCCACTTATTGCCAAACATAAATGTTGGCGTGAAATCTTATCTAGATGTTGGCAACCCTAACAATACTTAAACCTCCATGACAAAAACATGAACTTGTAATAACAGTAATGTATCATTATAATATATGTAATGTTTAATGGGTGCAGTGATAAATTTGTGCAATTTTGTGAATTTTCTTAAGTAAAAACAGATTGCTGTTTAAGTGGGGAGAACTGTTGTTTCCCCCCATTAACATTGCATAGCTGTTCATGGCCTAATATGAAGAGACTACCACATTTAGTGCTTAGGTGCATATTTAATCGCTTGCACCCCATTGACAGAAAAATACCCACTATTCTTATATTTTTAGATGTATGGTATATTTTTATACACAATTTTTATTTTTAAAAATCACTTTCCTTAGGCCTCTGCTTCATTTCGTCTTCTATTTTGAATAATTATTGAGAGTAAGTGCTATTATTCATTGTTTTGTTGCTGTCAGTGTATGTTACTATTTTGTGTTTTGGCAGAAAATGCAAAATGTTAATATGTTGAACACATCTTTGTATTTTTCTTTTAACTTAAGGCGACTTAAAAAATGAAGAATCAGTCCTTGAATGGCTTATAGATGATGATAATCATGAATTGCCTGATGAAATTGAGACAGTTAACCTGAGAATGTTGAATAAACTGGTAGAAGAGTCACCATTTTTAGCTGTTTATTTCTGTGAGTATTCTACTTTTTGTAATTAATTCGTTTTCGAGTCACTTAAAGCTTTATTCACTATATGTATTTCTTGAAGTTATTATTTTTTTGTAACAAATAGCAGCTGTTGCTAAATTGGATAATGTGCTGTAGTGGCAGAAATGTTGCATTGTCCTATAAGTTTATTAGAATTTAGAAATACATGTAAATTTTTACATCATAATCAGTTAATATATTATACATCATAAAAATTTTACCATCTACTTATTATGAATATTTAACAGTGCAGTTGATTCAGAAGATTGAAGATGATGGTATTTGTTTTTATGAATTTTTAAATATTCAATACAAGAACTGTGAAAGCAATACCTTAGAATAAAATATATATATATTAAGGAAGAAATAAGAATAATATTCCATCAGAAATAATGCATAGAGAGTAGAACTGAATCATTTCTCAATGTAATTGGTATTAAAAGGAAAGAAGGTACTGAAAGAATTCTGTTATTATTTTTTTTTTATGGATCTTACTTGGAGAAATCAAATTGTCACATCTTCTGAGCTGAGAAATGCATATCTGCTTGGCAAGGAAAAAAAAAAAGTGAGGAGCGGGTTTAGCAGTTTATGCCTTTATATCTTGTGTTGAGACTAATTTCGCTTCGTTGACATCAGAACAAGCCCTTGAAATTTATGGTGGCAAGGAGGCAAGATTACACCTGTCATTGCCAAGAGTCCTGGCCACCAAGGCCAACATTGCCAAGAGCCAGTAAGACTTTGCTCAGTTCCCCCTCACAGTTTTGAAGGAGAGCACCCCAGGAGGGATGGGTGTGAGGGTCTTTCCCTACCAAAACCTCTTGAGAGGACTTCAGCTTGCTGCATACTTTGAGTGGATCCGTGCCTCACAGACACTATACACGTACAAACATCCATGTCTTCTCTGAGATTCAAACATGGGCCTTTCGTTGTGGCAGTCAGGGTGACTAACCACTATCCTGTTTGGATGGCATACCTTTAAAATTAATATTACAGGAACATTAAATTAAACATGAAAAATTAGCAGTGCTCTCACCAAGAATTGAACCACAGATCCATTTGCTAGTTATATGTGTCAACCAATTACATCATGACAGAATGTTCGAGAATCTGATAATTCCTTACATTATCCTTTGTTTAAAAGATGATTTGGGACAGGCACAAGACCCTGTTGATCAGATCCAGGTTAGTGATGAGTTATCTTCCTTCGCACTTTAGTATAAGCGTACAGGCTCAAGGCTTTTCAAGGTGGAAAACATTTAAAATCATCTGTATTTTCATTGGGGTTCAAACCAGGAATCTTCCAGAAGTACATTGGATGTGTTGATCAGTTATAACCCAAGAGCATGCTGCTATATTTTCTTACAACCTTAAGCCCACCAGCGGCCGAGCAGCTAAACATTGGTGGTTTGTTCTGGGATTTGAATCTTGATGAACAGGCTGGTGGCATGGGGGAGGACTTTCATAATTTTCCCCATGTGTAGCATGTATGAGCCAGTTTCCCTTAGAAAATCATCTGAAAAGGCATCCCTTCCCTTAGGCAGATAACCCTTGAGTGCTTTTCTATAATCAAATAAATCAAACCAAGTCTTAACAACCTCAGTGTAGTGACATAGATAATTCCTTAGTGAACTTTTTTATTATTTCTTCTACAGTTTTCTTTTCCATCTTGCACAAATTCATTAATAAATGTCCTGCCCATTTCTCTGGAGACTGCTGTATTAGTATTTTCGGTGGATCTGATTATTTGAATGGACATCTTCACCTCCACTATTTGTATGTATAAATGCCATTATGCTTATAACATGCATCAAATAAGCATTGGAAACAAATACTGTAGATACCCTAGCTCAGAGTTTCCAACTGTATGCCCACGGGCACCATGGTGCCCGCTGATCATTTAACGTGTGCCGGCCGCTGTGCAATCACAATAAAAATGTTTGTTTTCAATAAAATTCTATGTGAAAGTTTTCTCATTTTTAATGAAATAGAAATTGCTTCCAACACAGGTACCAGCACAAAGCACAATGCAACTGATCTCTTTTTTTTATGGGCATGTATCATTAACTCTATCCAACTATAAATTAACCTTGTAAAAGTAAATGGTGCCTGCTGTCCAACAAATATTCTAGAATGTGCTCTTAGGCACAGAAAGGTTGCAAACCCCTGCCCTAGGTGGTTTGGTTTTGATTTATTTAAGTATGGCTAAGCTTATGAGGTCTATCTGCTTAACAGGAGAATGCCTTCAGGGGGAGCGTTTTAAGCAGACACACTATGAATTTTGCAATGTGGTTTTTAAATATCAGAAACTTATTCCAGATATGAAATCCTGACATTTGCTAATGTGGCTTAATATTCATTTGTCAAACATTTAGAGCCTTGACATTCCGTGCTAAGGGGCATCAGACTTATGTTAGGAAAAAGAAACCCAGAAATTTTCCATTGCTTAGCATTATTGGTCAGAAGATGACATTTTCTATATCTCTGCATCCAAAATCATTCAGAAAATATCTTGTGTTAGCAAATTAGATTTTCTAAATGCATTTCATATTCATAAAAATCTTCCACTTTTAGTTAATCATCTCAATTCTAATTCATCTTTACATTCAGCTTGTAAAAAAATTATTTTTATCGTCTCTTTCCATTCACATTTCTGTGAATAGAGGGCATCAGTGACTGTCTCCTTTTCTATGGCAAGAACTTTTTCAATTTTTTTTCCCTGTTGTTACTTGAGAACAAATACTTTGTCTTCATTTTTACTTCTGCAGCTGAAGAAAAATGCTCTATGTAACATTCGAAACAATACTACTGCAAATTTCCATATATTATACTAATTCTTATTATTAATTATATTTATCTTTCACATTCGTCCTTTGGCTTGGTCTTTTTGTTACAACTTTTTAGTTCGCTTTCTTAAAAATATATTGGATATTAATTGGTTAGTTTTCGAAATATTTGTGATTCTACAATAGTAGATTTATAAAATCGATATTTTCCCACTTCTGTGTTCTTAATAACAAATTATTAAAAGTTATTTTAAAAACTTTAAGTCTTTTATACTGGTAACACTTTTTAAAATTTATATTCCTCATTATATAAAAATTTGGAGATCAATAAATTAGCATATTTTATAAAATTGAATTTGTTTTATGTGGTAAAATTGGTATGGAATTTATATAGTGAATCAAGGTTTTACCAAACTATAAATTAGCAAAACTGCTAACTAGCATAGGTTTTTATCAATATGAGTCAATGAAATTAGTATAGGTTTTCACCACTATGACTCAGAGTTTTCCAGGGGTATCAACAGATGCAAGGGAAAATTATACACGCACAGGCCTGGTGCTAGAACAGGTACAACAACAGCAGTGAACAGATTTCAGGGAATTTTTAGAATTATTTTTAGAAAAATTTTTAGAATTAAAGGGAGGCATTGGGTTGCAGAATTTAGGAGCAGCTGAGCTTGCAGCGGGTGGTTGAATTTTAACATCGACCCTGTTCACATGTACGCACACACAAGCACAAGTTTGCTTTTTTTTTATATATATACACCATGTCTACAAGAGGCAAGTTGTTATGTGGCCTTTATTTTTTAATTGTTTGTCATAGACATATGCAATAAAAGCCAGACTATCCAGCATTCAACTAACCAGAAAGCTCAAGTATAACGGGAGTATTTTCAAATTTTAGGATTTTTATTTTCTGTTTATGAAAAATAAGAGATTTGTAACTCTGTCATAAAGCATGAATAAGATAGGATGTGAATCAAACAAAAACTGTTGCAAAACAGTGTTATTCAGCACCCGTAATGAATGTACATAACAGTCCAGTCATAAAATCTTCATTGTGGCTTTATATAAACCTGATTAATTTATGATAAGTTTGTTTAACTTTTCTAAAAAAATTATACAGTTTAATGGCCTTTTATGTAGTTTTCAATTGCATTCCAAAACATGATTAAAATTTGGGATTTGCCTTCAACAGAACAGCATGCAACAATTTCAAAATTACGGGATCCTGGCATCAACATCAAGAAAAGCGCAACTTATGTGAAAATTAATGAACACTGGCAGTGCAGTGTAAAAAATTATGACAAGTAATTTAAGTTTTTTTTGTATGTTATATCCGTAATTTATATATTACAGTTATTTAACTAAATGAAAATTTATCTGTTCTTTCAAACCTTTGCCAGATTGACTGGCAACATCTCCACCAGTTTATATGGTCAATGGAATTACATAACTGAATATGATGTTTTACTACACTAAAATGATCTTTTTTCTTTCAAAGTTTGCATAATTTAAATGTAGGCATTTGATAGTTTAGTTGATAATAAAGAAAACGACTCTTTCTATTGCTTGAGACTGCAAATTTTTCTTCCGTTCATTTGGTTTTTCTAGCAGGAACTGTATTTTTTATATGCTGAATTATCTGGAATATTCGCATATCCAGAATTCGGCATTTTCCTAGCAGACAAACAGGCTTTTACTGCACTTCTGGTTACAGAAATGTTTTAGATGAGTGTATTCATGTTTTAGCATATTGAAATTTAAAAACATCAGTTTTACGGAAATTATGAAAAGTTACTTTTCATACGGTCATCCTGCTCATATATTACATTTAATAAAAGTTTGCACTTAGTATAAAAAATAAAACACAAAATTTTTTACTCCCATGCAACAAAAATTAACTGGTCTATTTAATTTCAAAGTTTGTGATTTTTACAATCCTTTTTTCAGCTTTCCTCAAGGGATCAGTTAAAAAATAAATTAGAACAATTTGATTTTTCTGTAATGTCATTCTGTGATACTCCTTTATGATTTCCTACTGTGTAAGATTCTTTAAGTAATACTTTTGTTACATTTGGTATCTGGAAAGTATTTTCATATTAGTATGGAAACATACTCTGAAAACATTTTCATACATATGCTTTTAAATGCGAGGAGTGCATTAATAATATTCGCATCAAGTTTGAAATCTTTAAGCTC